ACTATCCCTGTAAGATTCAAGTGGAAGTATTTCTATAACAAAGCCACCTAAGTGGAACTATTTAATCTGAATCATAATATATTAAAATAAAAAAGCATTTAATGTAAACTCACACACAGCTAATTAAAATCTCATATCAAGCATCTGATGTGTCATCTGGCCTTGTCATGATTTTATATAATTTTAGTTTAAAATATTATAACATTTATTTAAGCATTTGGAAAGTAGAATCATTTTTTGTGTCTTCTAGACTGACTCTACAATCATTCTATAATTTTTCCCCAAAAATAAATGGTTTGTATTTGTCTTAATGGAAAATAAAAATATATTCACCATTCACCTTGAAAAAAATTTAATATTTCAGCAGCTATGATTTATACTTGAGTTCCTGTTACCTCCTTTCATAACTAGTAAAAATTCTAGTAATAATGTATTCACTTCCAGTTTGAAGATTTGAAGTGGTTGGTAAAACTAATGTTCCTGAACTAATGCTCATGAAAAAGTTCATGAATAATAAATTGAATTAATCATAAAGATATGCACAGAAAGTCAAATAATCCCCATGGCAATGGTTTCAAACTTCTGTGTGCCTAAAAATCGTTTGGGGGGCACCTTACAATGAAGATTCCAGGGCAGGCCCCTCCCCAGAGGACTTAATTTATTAGGTATTGGGCATTATCTAGGAGTCTGCATTTTGATAGTGTGCCTTTGATAATTCAGATAAGGTATTCAATGGGTCAAACTACTACCTACAAAAATTCTTTAAAACCCTTCTTATATTTTTTATATTATTATTCAGATTGTAAGAGGAGAGAGCCTTTGTTAGTGTCTGGTCCAAGGCTTCTCAAAGTGTATTCCTTGATGCATCCATATCAGAACCATTTTGGGTTCATATTAAAATGTATATTCCTTGACCTATCCAAGATTAACTAAATAGGGTTCTCTAGAGTGGGGCAGATTTGCATCTGAAATAAACTTCCCAGGTGATTCTGATGCATAAAACAGTTTAAGAACCATTAATTTTTATCTCTCTTTAACTCCTCTTTTACCCTTGTAGGCTCTGATTTTCTCCAGCCAAGGAAGAGTACGAATCATCCTTTTAACAACGTGTTTACAGGCAATAGATGAAAATGTAGGGCATGTTTAGTCCTGGGAGTTGCCTCGGCACAAGGAGACAGTTGAGTAGAAAAGTGGTTAGTAGAGTATATTTCTAATACATAAAAGATTGTACACTGACATTTGGAATCTAGTTTGCTATAGTCATCACACATATGAATCAGAACTGGATAAGTTATGCCATACTAACAAATAACCGCAATATTTCAGTAGCTTCCTATAACATATTTCTTGTTTATGCTACATGTCCAGCATAGGGGCTTACTTTTTTTGTAGCTTTGCCATCTGAAATGTGTGGCTTCCTGCTGTTATGCTTCAGCCTGTATGCAACACTTATTAGTCTCACTTAAATTCATTGGTCAAAACTAGCTGTGAGTACTGATCGAGACATAGAGAAGGCTGCAAAATGAAGTCTTCCTGTGTTCCTAGCAAGAGAAAAATGAAATTGAAGTTGAGGAACACGTAGCATTGTCTTTGTCTGAGAATGAGATATTGAGATTATCTGAAGAGGCAAGAGAGCTTCAAATTGAGATTTGTCACATACTTTGATAATGAAAGAATAGAAGGCCTTTGCTGCCAACGCTCCACCTCAGCTTACCAACGTATCAAGTCAGGTATTTGTTAAAAAACAGTATACAGGAAAGAGTAGACCTTGTCCACAAATGTTCCCCAAGGAAAAGTTTTCAAAGAAATGCGTATTATTTCAAAGAAATAATAATTACAGCTTCTTTTTAATTCTTAAAAATTGGAAAGTTTCTCTATTTGTTTAATTTCCATTCAGTGGCTTTAGTTAGTTCTCTAAGAATGTGATGCTCAAACTATCCGCCAATGAGCCGTTTCATTTTTGAATATCCAAGGAACCTCGGAAGAATCGAAGACATTTAGAACACAGCAGAGCATGTAACACAGTCATTAGAAAGCGTCATTTGATCATTTATCTGAAGAGCTAAATAGGGAATTCAAACCGAACACACTAAACCTCAGATGATGGAAGGGACAAATGCTGGTGCGGGTATTATGGAGTCTGCCGCTGTCTATGCATCTGCTCTCTCTATGATTTGAATTCTGTGTTTGTATTAAAGATTTGAATTTTTATGTGACTTATCTAATGCTGTGCAGTATCATTTCATCATGAAAAAAAGCTGTCTTGAGTTGGTGCAGATCAGTGCTTAAGGGGTCTTGAGGTATGTTAATAAGTCATAATGTCAAACACAGAAAAAAATTTATTTCCTACCCTAGCAAAGAGATTATTGATGCATTCAAAATTCTTTAGAGAATAATTTACAAAGTTTCTCTCTTAGACAATTCAAAACACTTAAAAATATTTAAATGGAAAGAGTGCCTCTTTGAAATAGGCTCATGGAAAGAAGTAGAAAGATTCCAAATAAACTCTGAACTCAGATCATAAGATATTTTTATCCTATTTTATCCATCACCATCTAAGTAATGGAAATTTTAATATTCCATTCTTTATTGAAACAAACAAAATAAGATCAAATCTGATATGTATTTATTTTTCATTTAAGACATAAATGCATACACGACAACTTATTACTTTACCACTGTCAAAAAGTGTGCCACATGCTTGCAATTAATTCATAATTTAGTATCATGTTTTGAAACACCTTGGACAAGTGGTTCTTAACCAGAATTGGACATCATTTTTTTAAAAAATTGCACATATTTGGGTATAGGCAAAGATAATTAAGTTACTTCTAAGAAGAACCAGAAGAAAAAAAGGAGAATAAATGAACCCATCCATGCATGTACAAACCTCAATAATGTAAAAGAGAAGGGAAGTATGCAAAAATTCCCAAATATCAGACTGGACAGCTAAAATGTG